TGAGTAGGCAAGTACACTGATCAGAGCGGGCAGACATCGTGCAAGACTGCGAGCACTTGCTCGGCGGGCAAATACCAATACAGTGCCTCCACATCGACAAGCAACACAGATTGTCGCTCTTGCCCTAGTGGTACGTGTGGGGTACAATGGTAGATCTCTGCTTTGTTGTTGGTGTGTGATGAGTTTCTGCGCTGACAGTTGTGTTGTTCCTCGATAGGCAAGTACACGGATCAGAGCGGGCAGACATCGTGCAAGACTGCGAGCACATGCTCGGCGGGCAAATACCAATACAGTGCCTCCACATCGACAAGCAACACAGATTGTCGCTCTTGTGCTAGTGGTATGTGGGATACAATTTTTGCGCTATCGCCAATTTGCATGAACATGGCCTCTGCGGCTGAGTGGGTGTTGTGCCTGATAGGCAAGTACACTGATCAGAGCGGGCAAACGTCGTGCAAGACTGCGAGCACTTGCTCGGCTGGCAGCTACCAAAACGGTGCCTCGACATCCACGAGCGACACGGATTGTCGCTATTGCCCAAGTGGTAAGGAGAGGTGTGGTGTGGTGTATTTATCGGAGCACTGCCGGCGCTGACGGTTGTGTGGGTGCTGTGTGAGTAGGCAAGTACACTGATCAGAGCGGGCAAACGGCGTGCAAGACTGCGAGCACTTGCTCGGCTGGCAGCTACCAAAACGGTGCCTCGACATCCACGAGCGACACGGATTGTCGCTCTTGCCCAAGTGGTAAGGAGTGTTGTGGTGTGGTGTGGTGTATTTATCGGAGCACTGCCGGCGCTGACGGTTGTGTGGGTGCTGTGTGAGTAGGCAAGTACACTGATCAGAGCGGGCAGACATCGTGCAAGACTGCGAGCACTTGCTCGGCTGGCAGCTACCAATACAGCGCCTCAACATCGACGAGCAACACGGATTGTCGCTCTTGCCCAAGTGGTGCGTGTGATCGACTGATTTTGCATGTATTTTGTTGTTGTTCGGTGTATGGTGAACATGTGGGGCAGATGTGCATGAATTTGCCAAATGTAAGGATGGATGTCGTCGATTTGTGTGAGCATGGCCGCGCTGACAGTTGAGTTGTTACTGAATGATAGGCAAGTACACAGATCAGAGCGGGCAGACATCGTGCAAGACTGCGAGCACTTGCTTGGCTGGCACCTACCAATTTAGCGCCTCAACGTCCACAAGCAATACCTACTGTCTCCCATGCGCAAGTGGTACGCACTAAGTATTTGATCGATTTCTGCGTCGCCGCTGTTGGTTCTCGCTCGCTACCCATGGCCGATGGTTTGCGATCGAGCACAAGAGGGAGCATGGCCACATTGACTGTTGTGGAATGGTGGTTGAAATGAACCATAGGCAAGTACACAGATCTGAGTGGGCAGACGTCGTGCAAGACCGCGAGCACATGCTCGGCTGGCAGCTACCAATACAGCGCCTCGACATCGACGAGCAACACCCACTGCATTTCTTGTGCAAGTGGTATGTGGCAGACATGCCGCGTTGTCGGGCTTTGCTGTGCCTTATTCTTGCAAGCCTCGTTTCTTGTTGTCCTTCGTGTGTGCTTGAGTGTTTAAATGGGACGTCATGTCTCTGTGCAAACTCATACTGACTGTCGCGTGATGGTCGAACTGAATTCTAGGCAAGTACACAGATCAGAGTGGGCAAACGTCGTGCAAGACTGCGAGCACTTGCTCGGCTGGCAGCTACCAAAACGGTGCCTCGACATCCACGAGCGACACGGATTGTCGCTATTGCCCAAGTGGTAAGGAGTGTTGTGGTGTGGTGTGGTGTATTTATCGGAGCACTGCCGGCGCTGACGGTTGTGTGGGTGCTGTGTGAGTAGGCAAGTACACTGATCAGAGCGGGCAAACGTCGTGCAAGACTGCCAGCGCATGCCCGGCTGGCAGTTACCAAGCTAGCGCATCGACTTCGACGAGCAATACCAACTGTCTTCCTTGCGCAGATGGTTCGTTCGCGGCTGTCAGCGTTGCAATCATCGATGATCACACTGCTGCCGCCGTGTCTTGTCATAGGAATGGTGTTTTGTCTTCCATAGGTACCTACAACGATCAGACAGATCAAACTACTTGTAAAGACGTGACCACTTGCGCACAGGGCACGTTTATTCAAGTACCTTCAACGCCCACTAGTAATGCACTTTGTGGCGCATGTCAATCAGGTAAACTTTGCCGCATTTGCACCTCCCTCTTGCAAGCGTGTAAAGCACGAACTTTGTTAAGCTTCCTGATATGCTCGTGCCGCATATCGTGCGATTAGGGAAATATTCAAATGGCCTCGATAGCACCAATTGCGTCACTGTACAGACGTGTGACGAGGGGTATTATGTGTCGGCTGCACCAACACCCACGTCGGATCGTGGCTGCAGACGCTGCGAAGCAGGTATCTGTTGCACTTTTGATCTTGTGGCGTGCGTGTTGTATGTGTGGAAAAGACTCAGTTTCTCACAGCTGACCGTAATCCGATGATTTCTGGGTTTGTATTCGGCAGGAACCTTCAGCTCTGAAGTGAACAGTGCCAGATGCACGCCCGTGAGCACCTGCGTGCCGGGCCAGTATGTCGCACAAGAGCCGACACCATCGTCCGACGCCGACTGCGCCAATTGCAACACGAGTGAGCTGGCGTCCCTGTGGCTCTTGGTCTTGCTACCTGCCCAACGCGCTGTCGGGTTTGGCGTGCATGCGTCTTCTCACTCGCTCGTGATCGGTCGACCACGCTGGGCGAGGGCCGATAGATTATTTTTCGACCGACATCAATAGTGCGACGTGCACGCCTG